TAAAGCGAAAATCGACACCCCCCGTGGAAACCCGTTGAAATGTAATACCAACAAGAGTACTCGTGAATCTAGTGAACACCGCAATATGCAACGCAGCCCGCCAGTGTAAGCTCTTCGGCGCATGGGAATACCTCGCAACGAACAGCACGGCAGTCAGGATATCCGGCCGAGTCTGCATGCCACATGAGGTGACCTGCCAAAGGACGAAAAGCTCAAGAACATCGGGTTTGCCAGCCGAAAAATCATCGAGCCTCACTCCAACAGGCACGGGGATCTTTTTGTTGCGTGTGATACCGAATTCGCAACCAAGGTGACGGCAAAAGTCCCTTGCGACAATGTAAGCGAACCACCAGCATCCCAATCGCGTGAAAAACGAACTCCCGCATACAAGCGCAACGCCCCGAGGTTTGTGATGAGAACGTAGGTGTTCAAGTCTCTGCCAAACTTATCACACCGACTCTTCCGCCCGATGGAAACGATGCCATCCACATGTACCACAACCACCATGAAAAGCTCACCTTTCACGATCAAACGCATGATACACGCATCAGCAGCACACTGGTCAAACCCAAGAGATTTCATGCCCCGAACAAGGTGGTAGTGCCACGTACGGGACGCCTGCTTCAAACCATAGTGGCTACGGGCAAGTCTCACAATCTTGCCGGAAAGGGGTCCACAACCAACCCTGCGGCAGACGCACGTACACGATCTCATCTAGCTTCGATTGCACGAGCGCTTAATCAGCATCAAAGTGGCACATGTCCCAACCCATTTCACACGCGATAGCAGACAAAAGGCGAATACTCGGATGGGTATGTAGGGCACGGGGAAGAAGTCTCAAAAATAGTCAATACGTTCACGCTGACCAAAACTCTAGCCACAAGCCTAGCCTTCCCACGCAACACATCACCGAATTCATCGACTTTCCACGTGTAGCCCCATTTGGCAGAGATCACGCTCGTTCCTCGTTGCTAGAGTCCTCCCGCCGGCTCGAACGTGCCCGCCCCAACCAGACCATCCATCTCCCGCTTCTCGGCGGCTCCCTGACCACGCTGTGCTGCCCCGCGTGAGCCTGAGCGTACGTGGCTGGAGTCTCGAGGTCGCGCGCTGGCCCGTCGGGTAGCGGGGGCTTATCCTGCAAAGGCTGAGCGGCGAGGGAAGCGGCGATATGCTACTCCATCGAGTCAAGCGCAAGTGCATCCGGCAATCCGCGAGCTGCTCCACCGGCCTACGCCTGTCGCGCACGCCCCCTGGTCACCGCCGGTGTTGCTTGGTAGCGGTCGCGTTGGCGCTCAAGATGCGGGGCGATGGGGGGCACGGAAGACCGGGGGGGGGTGCGGAGGCAGGAGGTAAAACGGACAGCGGGGGGTAGACGCTCCCTCTGCTCGTGTGCTCGACCGCCCCCGCAAACGCCGGTGTCGATGCATTCGCCGCCGCCCACGGTACTGCCGCCGCCACGCCCACTCCCCCACTCTTGCTGCCATGGATGCGAGCGATGGGGCTCTGGCCCAAGCCGTCCGCATGACCACCGGCGCTCCTGCTGATGCTATCACCGGCGACGGGGATCTGGCGGAAGCCGCCATTGCCGTCGCCGCTTCCGCTGGTGCTGATACCGGCGACGGGGCTCTGGCCGAAGCCGCTACTGCCGTCGCCGCTCCTGATGACGCTGCTGCCGGAGGCGGCGCTCTGGCCGAAGGCGTCCACGCCGACGTCGCTCCCGCCGGCGCAAATGGCGCCCCCGTTGTACGTCGGTACGAGACCAACAAACGGCTGGCGGCGAGAACCCCAAACATCGTCCGTAGTGTACCCCACGGCCCCGGAGGGGAAGATGACCTTGTAGCAGTCACCGGAGTGGTAGTCGCCGGGATTGGGGTAAAAGCACCGCTCGCCCTTGGGTGCGATCTTGGCGGGGGTGCGCGCGTGGTGAATTCGCGGCATGAGGAAGGGCAGAGGTTGACGCAGCGGACGTTTCCCGTGGAGTATCTCGTACGGGCAGAGATGAGTAGGCGGCTTGTCGAGCCGCGACAGCGTGTTGATGCATGCGAACATCCAGCTCCAAGCCCCCGGCCAGATGCGGTTGTAATCGCAGAATCGATTTAGTATGCTCCCGTGACCACCCACGGAGGACGTTGCCGTGCCCACCCACGGAGGGTACGATATGATGTCTGTCTGAAGACTAAGTTAACCCAGGGACCGATGCAGATGACATATTACCTTGCTTATCACACACAGTGCTCCTTCCAGCACAGCATACACAGTATCTCTCGCAGACACAGTGAATACATGTGCGTGCTCTCTCTCTCTCGAGGGGCCCCGCACTTGGACCCCTAGACTAATAGCATACCCCCCAACACACATACACTCTCCGGATCGGATCTTGCATCCAAGTACACCAAACATACTTGCGAGATTATGACGATCTCCTACATTATTTGACAGTCAAATGTATGTAGCTTCCACATCAGTACCATTCTTTCCATCGAAGGTGCTTGAACTTGACTTCCAACATGGAAGCTCGCCAAGTGTCTTCCATGGAAGTGTAGGGAACTTCCGTGATAGTTGAGGCAGGGTCGTTTCACGAAGCGAGCCTTCACGTTCATTCCGATGGCAGCTATAGTGGAAGTCAACAACTGTAGTTTCCACGGAATGTGCTTGGTGAGCTCATACGAAAGTCAATTCCACCAACCTCCTTCCATCAATGTCGCCCACCTTCTTCGAGCAGCTACCATGGAGGAGGAAGCCATGTAGTCTTTGGCACAACCTTCTTGATTTATGTCCCCCGACTCTACAGTAGTTTCATACTTCTCAAGTATATAATATTGGGTAACAATATGTTGGGTTAGAGTCATCTATACGGAGGGTTGCCTGATGTTGCTTTCATCTCTAAATTTCCAAGCATTCATGAAGAGGGTTGCCTGCTAGCCCCCCGTCAAAATACCCCCTCCTCCGTGGAAGTTGCATTCATGAAAATTACCGTGGTTCCATGAAAATGCTTTACAGTTTCGGGGGAGGTGTTCGACGGGCGAACTTCCATGGAGTTCATTACTTCCATGAAAACCATGAAAACTCTTCGCACTTTCATGCGAGTAAAAGATGCGACTTCCACGGAAACAGCCACCCGTTGATCCCATGGAAACAGCTCAACTTCAATGGAAGCTGCCGCAAGTTCCATGGAAGACTTACGGAAGCTGGCGCCGGGACCTGACCAGCAGCTTCCATTCGGCTTCCTCATGGATGTTGAGCGGCTTCGGTGGAGGTCGTTAACTACTCCCTCCATGGAAGCGTGTGGAAAACAATGTCAGCTTATGTAGTACCCGGAAATGAGCGGGATGCCCACCAAGACTGAACACTGTTGGTACGTCCGTACTCGGGAGGAGAAGGCACGCTTTAACTCTCTCTGAGTAGGCACCCGCGGGAGCGAGGAAAGGAAGGGAAGAAGTGGCCCTCCCGAATTCGGGGAAGGGGGCCCACACATAGTAGCCTTTTTCAGGCATACGCATGCTCCTGTCTACGTACCCCCCCGTGCTGCTNCGCGCCGGAAGGCGGAAACAACAAATACTTCGAAATAAAGTAGTAAAATAGTAGTGCTTCGCGAGGTCTGGCTCTGCAGCTGCGTATGTCGATATGCGAGATTCCTTTCGAGCGAGGAGGAATTGTGACGAGATGTGACGATCTCTGACGCGGGTTCGGTGTGGAGCTAGTCCGACCACTGTGTGCAGGTTGGAGCCGCTTCGCTCCTTCAGTCTGTTTCCTTCCTTATCCTTCCCTTCTCAGTCGCTCGCTATCGCTCACTCCCAGGCAACACCAGGGAACACCAGGCACGACACTGAGCAAGGTGGAACGCTTGCAAATCGCTTGCTACCTGCCTAAAGTCGGAGTACTAAGAATCTGGGCAGGTGGTCGGGGTTGTTGGTATGTCCGTACTTGGGAGGAGAAGACACGCTTTAACTCTCTCTGATTAGGCACCCGCGGGAGCGAGGAAAGGAAGGGAGGAAGTGGCCCTCCCGAATTCGGGGAAGGGGGCCCACACATAGTAGCCTTTTTCAGGCATACGCATGCTCCTGTCTACGTACCCCCCCGTGCTGCTAGCAGATCTACAAGTTCAGGGAAATGGATACCACAAGATTCAACAGCAAAACTTCACGCCGTTTTTAGGAGTTAGACTCTGAAACTTTGCACACATGTACCTTGGATCATTACGAAACGCTGTGTGGAGGGCCCTTTTTTTTTTTCCCTGTCGCCGGATATCCGGGGTCCTAGAGATTTCGGGGTCGTGTGCGGCTCCTGGGACCCCGAATAATCGGCGACCATGGAAGGAAATGAAAAAGGGCCCGCCGCACAGCGTTTCGTATTGACCCAAGGTATATGTGTGCAAAGTTTCAGAGTCTAACTCATAAAAACGGCGTGAAGTTTTCAGGTCTTGTGCCATGAAGTATTTCGCATCCTGAATTTCCCCAAACTACTTGATAAAAGTATGAAACGGNGGGGTCCTAGAGATTTCGGGGTCGTGTGCGGCTCCTGGGACCCCGAATAATCGGCGACCATGGAAGGAAATGAAAAAGGGCCCGCCGCACAGCGTTTCGTTATGACCCAAGATATATGTGTGCAAATTTTCAGAGTCTAACTCATAAAAACGGCGTGAAGTTTTCAGGTCTTGTGCCATGAAGTATTTCGCATCCTGAATTTCCCCAAACTACTTGATAAAAGTATGAAACGGCGAAATTCAGGTTCTTTTGACGCCCAAACGACCCTATTTCATCAGTTTATCGAACTAGTTCATGAAAGTTCATAGACACGGTCTTTGGAATATGTAGGTATGGTAGAATCAAGAAGAACAAAAAATCACATATTGGGACAGATTTTTGGGGTCCCGCAAAAGAGGCTATCTCCAACGCAGTTTGGCCCACCGACGGCAAGTCATAAATCGACCATTTTTCGACCGTATTAGGCCAGCTTGTGTGCGATGTCGACGAAACTCCATGCGAAGCTTCATTGCACTGTAACGGTGTCGTTGGTTAGAGAAAGAATCACAAACAGCCATGTATATCTACCTACTTATTAGACGAAAACACCGACCGTGCTGCCCCGACGAGAGATTTTTTATCATCGCAGAGCGGCCTTGTGCCACCTTAACTGGGTGATAAAACACTGTTGATTCATGCACCGAGACCGCAAACATGCCAACATGCATGGACCGGTTTGCTGAGGGTCACACCGCGGCCGCTGCGTGTGCGGCGAGAACCTCCGGAGGGTCGGCCGCGCTGATGTCGCTCGTGGGTGCATCAGTCACCGGGGGTAGCTGCTCGTGAGGCTCCAGCAGCGTGACGTGTTGCCCCTTCGTTAGCGTGGAGAACATAGCCACGGCCTGTGCGTCCATTGCAGCATCCTCCTGGTCGCACTCTGCAACCCGCCGCTCCATGTATCTCCTCCGCTGTTCTGATTTGCGATCGCGCCTGACGTACGCAAACGCCCGGCGCCCGAGTCCGGCGTTACGCAACCTGCTGCAACCCCCTCAAAGCTCTGGCGCGTTCCGCTTGTTTTTGGATGGCACACTTCTTGGCGACTTCGCACTTCGGTGTCGTGCCTGAACACCGGTGGGGGGTTATTTTAACGGAGGACAGACCGGAACATACGGCGATAGTATGGCTGTTAATTAAACTGTGCGATAAAGCTTGGATACAAGGACTGTGTCTTGGTAGAAAAAACCAAAGAGCGCCTGCTAGAGGACCGTTACTCAAATTGAAGAATAACCCGTGAATGTCAATCCTTGTACACTGCAAAACACACAGCCTCCCGTCGTGCAAAACGGCAGCCCCTCTAAGCCAATGTTGGTGTCTGTGTTTATCTGTGGGTGCGGTATGCCCTTGTGTCGGTTGCTGCTGGACGCGACTTGTAAGAGTTGGGCACCTTGTTTTTCAGACGGGTTGCATGTATACAAGTTCGGGCCTGACTTGTACACAATGTTTTCTTGTACAATTGCGTGCTGCTGCTGTATGCCCTGGTGCGTTCTATATAATAGAGACTGTAAACATAAGTTCGAATCTGGCGTGTATAACCACTTTGTACTCTCCCTTCTTCCCCTCGCTCCTCGACAAGCTTTTGCTTAGACATGGGTTGTAGNGTACCTCTTCGGGCTCTTGGATACCTTTTTCTCGTTATATGTGTGCGTGTTCTTTAGATCCTCAGATGGCTCTAGCACTTTCGTGACCACGGGCTGAGAGTCTTTTGCTAGATTTTGGCATTTAGCAACTGACATACGGTTTCATGTGAAGACAACAACAACAACTTCTTGTATGTACACTTGCGTGCTGCTGAGCACTGCTGTGTTCTATTAGAAGTGCAAATCAGAGATGGGTTGTACAATACACTATGGTACTCTTTTGTATCAATAAAAGTAGTACTGCACTGCTGCATGCTGTACACCTCGTCTACTGTTCAAGATTGTCTGATGCAAACAACGGGATTCGTGTCGAGGTTCTCCAGTACATGCGTACATGGATGCTGTTGTACTGCAACTTGCAGTTTTTTCACGCAGCTACACTTGTCATGGAAAACACGCACCAACCATACGCATGAACGCCGGCCAGTGTTGTTGCACATGTCACCACCGTGCTAGCAACGCGCCCGCCTGGTTGCTACTTTGCTGCATGTTTCAACCCACCACGGAGTACACACCCTGCCGCTTTGCTGCTGCTGCGGTTGTACAGCAGTACTGCTTACAGCACTGACAGTTGTGTAGCAGTAGCTACGTGCAGCAAGTTCCGCAGCAATGGTTGACTCACCGTGCTTGGGCGACAAGCTCCGCCTTCGCATGGGCTTCTCTAGCTCACTTGTGCAGTTGTCCGCGTCTCCGAGCGTTTCCGCCTTTATCTTATACTTGAAGGCGGTGTTCTTGCGAATGCCCGTGGCATGTGGCCGTGCGTGGGTGATACGTGCATCTGAGCCTCCAACGCTTCGTGTTGCTGCACTGCACTGCGCAAACTTGCGATACTTTGTGTTTGTAGGTGTCAACGTAGGGATCCACACTTTGTAGTGGCTCCAATGTGGAGGGTCTCCTTGCGTACGAGACGCGTGTGCAGAGGTACTCAGCTGGTTGTACAGCAGCATCGGTGCACCAGGAGTTTTTCAAAACAAAATGCGGCGTAACNTGTGTAGCAGTAGCTACGTGCAGCAAGTTCCGCAGCAATGGTTGACTCACCGTGCTTGGGCGACAAGCTCCGCCTTCGCATGGGCTTCTCTAGCTCACTTGTGCAGTTGTCCGCGTCTCCGAGCGTTTCCGCCTTTATCTTATACTTGAAGGCGGTGTTCTTGCGAATGCCCGTGGCATGTGGCCGTGCGTGGGTGATACGTGCATCTGAGCCTCCAACGCTTCGTGTTGCTGCACTGCACTGCGCAAACTTGCGATACTTTGTGTTTGTAGGTGTCAACGTAGGGATCCACACTTTGTAGTGGCTCCAATGTGGAGGGTCTCCTTGCGTACGAGACGCGTGTGCAGAGGTACTCAGCTGGTTGTACAGCAGCATCGGTGCACCAGGAGTTTTTCAAAACAAAATGCGGCGTAACTATGTTTTTTGTCCCCGTTTTGGGAAAAGCCTGCATATCATCGAAATATTTGGAGGCTCCTCATTGGCTGAGGCACGTAATAGCCCATATCTTCCCAGCGAAGCCTTAAATCAAAATTTCGGCCACGACGATTTGCTCCTTAGCTCGTGGGGGTCACTATCGTACTGCGTTTGTCAACATTATGTACAAAATTCGTCTGGCAGGAGTGGTTGAATTTACTTTGGTCCATTTCCCTGATCCAGCCTCTACCATGCTCGTATCCAGACACACAAACACCCTCCCCGGTTCGTCAAGCTATTGACAAACCATCAGTGGGGCATGGATACTCCAGATCTACTTAAGTTAATGATACAACAACGGGTGCAAGGGAAAAACTCGGCCATCCGGATCAAAAACCCTCGCCTATAAACTCAATACATAAAAGAAACCGTCGCTATCACAAAGGATTCCAACGGCCGCACTATCAGGGCAGGACCAAGGCAGGACAGATTGGACAGGCCACGCTGATTACACACCCGAAGCAATTGGCCAAAAACCCTAAGCTCCCGCCGCGGGTGACGCCCCTGCCCAACGCTTCCTGCGTGACATACCATGGCTGATGGTCCGAGACGCGCCCAGTGCTAGAATAACACAAAACAAACGCCACGAAAACGAGACCAGAACTACATCGGCAGGTTCATCAGAGCCTTCCGGTGGTACTCCAACTTGCCCCT